TCCTGCAGCTCATCTCCATGCATCAATTCCCTGTTTTCCCATGTCTGAAAGCCAAGCACCACAAATATTCCCAATGCTTTAATTCTGGTGTGAAAATATCCTGCTTTGGGCAATCAATCCTGCTTGGGGCAATAAATCCTGGTTCYCTCCTCTGGTGTCCGGCAGTTCCTCTCTGGGAGCCAGGAATGGGAATGGGGGACCGGGATGGGGACTCTGGGGCCAGGGATGGGGGCACCAGGAGCAGAGATGACCATGAGATGATCACAGCATGACCATGGCCACCAAGACCATGAGATGACCATGCCCATTATAATGAAATGACGATGAGCATGAGATGATGGTGATGAGGAAATGACCCTGACCATGGAATGGCTGTGGCAGGACATTGACCATGAGATGACCATGACCATGACCATGAGATGACCATGACCATGAGATGACCATTACAATGAGATGACCATGACTGTGGTTATGACCATGAGAACCCCCCAGCATCTCCCTGAACATGCTGACGCTGCCCATGCAGAATGAGGTTTATGCTCGGCACAGGATCCCCATCTCTGTCATCAGCATTGCTCAGGTAACGCCAAAACCCCTCAATTCCCTCCAGAAACCCCAAAATCCCCATGGAACCCCCAAAATCCCCACAGAACCTCCCAAATCCCCCTCCCAATACTCTGTGAACCCCCAAAACCCCACTGTGACCCCTCTGAACATCCCCTGGGGTTCCCAAAAACCCCACTGGGACCTCCTAAAATCCACTCAAGACCGCCAAAATCTCTTTGGAAACTTTCAGTCCCCTCCCTGGGGCCCCTAAAATGCCCCAGGCACCCCCATGTATAACACAAGGGTACCCCCAAAATCGCACTGGGACCCTCAAAACCACATTCAGGATGCCAAAAATCTATTGGGAACCTCCAAGAAATACTCCGGGATGTCGGAATCTCCTCTGGGACCCCCAAAACTTCTTCAGGAACCCCCCAAAACCTCCCGGGGCATTGCCCTTTTAAAAGGTTTATGGAAGAGACTCAAAGGCGAGTTGTTAAAGTGGTGATGGTAGAGGGACTCAACCAAAACAAAATTGAGGGGAGAGAAGGAGCCCTTTAAAGGGGGTTTGGTGTGCTGGGGCTTAGCAAAAATCCTTAAAAAGGTGGGAAAAACCCTTTAAAAGGACTTTTAGGGTTGGGGAGGCAATTAAATAGGGTTTGAACTGTTGGAGAGCCCCAAACCCCTGTAATGGGAGGGCAAACCCCGCATTAAAAGGGACCTGGAGTGAGGAGGGACCCCAAAAAGTCCTTTAAGGGGGCAAAGCTCACCTTACAAAGGGTTTGTTGAGAGGAGGTCTCCCTAAAAACCTTCTCCAAGGGGTCAAGATCCAGCCCTTAAAGGAGCTTGTAGTGCTGGGTGTGGTGGGGATCCCCTGGAGCTTATCCCAAACACTGCTCCAGGAACTGCTGCTCTCCAGCGAGCTCCTGCTTTTTACCCAACACCCCTGGAAGATTTATTTCTCCATGCCTGAATAACATCCCAAGTGGGATCATATTTTTGTTGTCAGCCTTCCCCATAAAGTCACGGACCCGAGCTGGGGCCAGGATGGAAAATGCCTGTGACTAAAGCCCATCTTTTGGGGCCCTATAAACAGCGGCCCCGAGTGAGACCCTCGGAGCTCTCCTGGGCCGCAGCAGCTGCGACAGCGACCTCCCTGTGCTGGGGCCTCTCGGAGCCGGGAACTCTCCCGTTTGCTGCACTCGGGGAGCCCCAAACCAAGATGGGTCCT